CATCTCCTGTTTTGACCAAATAAATCATTATTAACTGCAATTACTGTCCGTTAGGCTCCATTGGCGGCAAAATTGAAAACTGAAAAGACGTGTCACTCAGAAGTCATCAGCAACACGAAACCTCCCCTATTCTGACTTATTATTGTTTGCAGGAGCGAGAGGAACGAACTGCTTGTTTCCAGCTGCTTACACTGGAGACCTGACTCCGTTCAAGAGTAATTTCAGTATCCTTTCTTTATTTAGTGTGTTTATTTCTTCACAACGGCGGCTTTATGCTGATATGGTGCATTTTTTTTTTTTAATGTCGATTAAGGCAGGTCTGGTGAATGAGCTTCGAAGGAAGGAAGGTCGGGAAGGTTCTGTTGAAGCAAAGCTGAATGCTGGGGATTCCGATGGTCTGGCTGCTTTGCATTACGCGGCTGTCGGCGGAAGAACTCAGATCGTTAAGTTTCTGGTGGAGGAAGCAAAAATTGACATCGATATCAAGGATTTGAAAGCCGGTCAGACTCCTCTGCATCATGCAATTATGGAGGAGCATTTTCAAACAGCGTTTACCTTCTTGAGCAAGGTGCAAGTCCCAATGCCCCCGCTAAGAAGGGGCGCACACCGCTACATTATGCAGCAGAATTTGGTAATTAAGTTGCTAGAAATGCAAATTTCTATTTCTCATTTCACTTTTATTTTGCTGCATTAACTTGTTTATTGTGTATCTTTGAATATTTTGAGTGAAAAAAGGATTCAAAATTGGGATATATGTTATGGAGAAGGAATCCTCATGTTAGTTGCTTGTGCTCTAAGGCTGGTGATTAGCTGTTTTTTCCTTCTTGATTTATTGAGTGAATTTTAGTTTTTTTTTTTCATATATAATTTTTTTTTTTATTATTACCTGTGGAAGATTTTGGTCCTTTCTTTACGTTTCACTGGGTGCATGTAATGTAGTCTTTCGTCAATTTTAGACTTGAGGTATTTATAGGCTTTTATAGGCTTTTTTCTCTTCTTTCTCAAAGTCATTG